GTTCATCCAGCTCTACACCTTGGTATCTCTCTTTTTTTCACATGTTTGTATTGCACTGCTTGCCTGTTATTCAAATAAGCAAAGAGCACAGCAGTTGGACTTTTGGCGGAAAAAAAACAGCCTTTTTGATCAGCGTTCAGAAAGAGAGAGCAAGACAAATGCAAGGAAATTTGTGAAGAGCAAAGAGAGATTGAGTCCTGATTAAAGAAGTGGAACAAATATTTACAGAGTGAGATTGAGAATGATCACAGAACCAGCACGGACAGATGCACACACCACAGAATGGGGAAATAAGTAGTGCATGGAGAATAGGTAGAGGTCCTGAAAGAGTCACTGTTTTATCAGTGAAATTGCATGGGAGATCAATTAATGTAAGCAAAACACGATTTATGCACATTAATGTCAAATATGGTCGAGAAAGCTATGAATAGTAAACAGTATTCCTGGTAATTCACAGTGTACTATAATTCTAATTTAAGACTTAACTGTATGCAGCACCTACATGATGCTTGGAAATCCTTCCAATCTAAGTTGGAAGTTTTAGTTTACATAGATCAGATGGGTACTAAATTTCTGTTGCAGTTTAGTAATACTTCTTTCACTTGTGCACAAAAGTACATCAGAATTCTGAAGGAAAATTGATTTATCTGTGTTCTGTGGATAACTGAATGATAATGCTGTAAGCCACTTTGAAATATTGCTTGCTTTGGAGAATTTACCAGCTGAGTCTCTAATCAACAGTCTAATGTGAAACATCTTGGTAATGGTTCTAACTTGTGCATTTTATTTTATTCAGCCCTGTTTACTCTAGATATTTAAATGTGTTACCTCTCATTGGTTTAAAGTCAATCCTGCTTGATTCCTGTAGATGGTACTAGCAATTACTCAAGAGTAGAACACAGTACAGGAGATAAAGAAAGCCTGAGAACATGTTCTTGGAGATTTAGACTTGTTTTAAAAAGAAGTCTCGTGATCATTAATTTATCTAGCTTAGGACCCTAACTGTACTGAATAATTAATACATTTGAATTTAATTTATAGCATGAGTAAAAGCACTCATTAAGGTCTTTGTGGGGAATTCATGTGTTTTCTTTGCAATCTCTGCAAGCTTACTGATTATTAAATGTTATCTTGGTATGCACAAAAGGAAACTCAAATTTAGCAAGTAGACAATCCAGTATTTCATCCAGTGGAGAAAATGTTTAAAGGCATTTTATAGGATGTTTCTCAATGTTTGGAGAGCAACAAGAGTCTTCAGCAAAGTTTCAAGGTGACAAGTTAAAAGGAGGGAATGCAAAAAGCTTGTAGACAACATCTATGCTGGAGAAAGTTTACAACAACATCAGAATAAAAATGCTTCACCTGATGATTTGGATGTACTCCTGGTTTCAGCTGGAAGTTGCTGAAAAGTATGCTACTTTTGCTGACGTAGCACGTAGTGTAATTTATTTATCTCTGCCTTACAAATACTGCAAAATAGGCTTCTCCCAGAGGCTGTTTTATTCCCTGAATAACTCTGCCACAATCATAAAGGTCTCAGATCTGTGCTGCACAGCTGCTCTCAGCATTGTACAAAGGGGCTGCAAGGAGGGAGGGATGTGCGGTACTACAGTTGGCCTTAGCAGTTCTATATTGTGAATTGAACGGTTGGCCTTTGTCTCAGTTCTCATTCACATTAGAAGATAAATAACTTGCTTTTATGTAGTGCATTTACTGTAGTAAAACATCTCATAGCACTTTTTGAAACCAATATCTGATCAGAGTTGACACTACCAAACAAGGAGAAACCAAGTTGAAGTTTTCTTTCTGTTTATCAACGAGCAGCCAACGCAATTAAGAAGCTAATTGTCTGTTCGGTGAAAAGGCTTGGGAAGCTAGGCCCACCTAGGGTAGTTGAGTGAGTATGCAGTAAAACAGAGGATCACAGCGGTGGGTGAGGACTGTAGATCATGGATCAGGTAGTAACTTAAAGATTGTATATCAAGCTGGAAATCAGTGTCAGGATGGTGCATGCTTAGTTATGGGGGTGATGGGAAGGTGTTTTTATTTTCCTGGCCTAAAGACAGTGTTGAAAAGACACATACCTGTTGGATGTTCTAGTCTCTGACATATTTCCCAAGCTTTGGGAAGGAAAAGATTATTTGTCATTTGTTAATTGTTTATTTCTTTTATCAGATTGCTAGACTGGATGCTGACAAACAGGCTCTGAATGACCAGATAATGAGTATTGATCCCACCAGGGACAGTAAACGTGTGGAAGCACTCCTGAGGGAAAAGGCCCAACTCTGTCAGAAGGTCAAGAGTCTGGAGGCTGAGGTCGCAGAACTGCGGGCTGAGAGGGAAAATTCCGGCTTGCAAGCTGAAAATGTGCAGAGAATACAAGTGCGACAGTTAGTTGAAACCCAGACTCTTGTTAAGTCTTTGGAGGTATGTTAGACCATAGAAACATGAATAGATGCAGGGGTAAACCATGAAGCTTCGTCATTCAATAACATTATAGCTGATCTTCTCTATTGACTCCAGTTTTCTGAACCTTACCCAGACATCTTGATTACTTTTGTGCTAAAAATGCATTAGCTCAGTCGCAGCTCGTTAGCAACTCCTTTGTCTGTCCAGCTGTCTTTCTCCCTCTTTTGGCTCTATCCTGTCATTTACTCCCTACCCCACCCACCTCCCTATGACGTTTTCCCAGCCACCATCAGTTTGGAGGAAGGGTCACCGGACCCGAAACGTTAACTCTGTTTTCTCCTTCACAGATGCTGCCAGACCTGCTGAGCTTTTCCAGCAACTTTGTTTTTGTTCTTGATTTACAGCATCTGCAGTTCTTTTGGTTTTTATTTAGCTCAGTCTTCATTGTATTTATGAATGAGCATTCTCTGCACTCTCAGGAAGAGAATTTTAAGCATTCTTACTCTTGCCTTGGAAAATGTTTCTACTGTTCTCAATGGTTGCTCCTTCATCCTGAAACAGCCTCTCAGTATCCACTCTGACAAGCCTTCCATGAACCAAAGAAGGACAACTTCATGTAGAGAAAATGAGTTAACGATCTTTCAAGTTACAAAGTTCTCAAAAGAGTTGCTAACAAGCCTTTGAAGAATTTTCCACTTTTCAATGAGATCACCTCTCTTTCTGTCCAATATCTCCTCTTAGTTCAGCTCTTTCATTTTAAAAATCAATTTAGTAAAGCCTTATTGCATCCCCTTCAAGGCAAGTATGGTCTTGTGGCAAGGTGACCTGAACTGTCCACAGTCCCTCTAGTTGTGCTCTCATTAAATCCTCTGTAACAGTAACAAGATTTGCTTACCCTTCTAAACTCCTGGCAAAAGACTAAAATGTCATCTGCCTTCCTAATTGCTGTCTGTATGTAAATGTTAACTTTTCATGATCTTTGCACCGCATCTCTTTAACCCTCTCAAGTATTTTCCTTCTTCCTACCAAAATAGATAATTTTGCACTTCCTCAATTTATACTCCATCTCCCACCTTCTTATCCATTCATTTAAACCCGTTACTTTGCTGATTCTGCATTCTTCTGACAGTTTCATGTTGTCAGTGAACTTTGATACATTACACTTGATTCCTTCATCTAAATCATTAACATAAATTCCAAAAGGCAGATGCCCAAACATCGATTTGCAGTACTCCATTATCTTATGCCTTAAGTCCAGAAAATGTCCCATTTATTTTTTCACTCTCTTTCGGACTGTTAACTAATCCATGCTAAAATATTAACCCCGATCCCTCATACCCTAATCTTGTGTGACAACCTCTCAGGCAGGACCTCAATTAATAATATTGAAGTTGTACATGTATTACATCTACTGGTTTCCCCTAAAGCTCTGATATATTTGTTGAAGGCTATTCCCCTTTCATAAAATTGTGTTGAGCTTGCGTAATCATATTGATACTTTCTGGGTATTGTGCCACCAAGTCCTTGTATTAGATTCTATTATTTCCATATCACTGTCATGCTACAGGACTGCAGTTTCCTGTCTATTCTCTCCCTCTTTTTAACAGTGAAGTCATTTCTTTGGTCTCTAATTATTTTCATTATTGTGGTAAACATGATCAAGTCTGTAATCAGAATAGTCCGAACTCTCAGCTGGGGATTTGTTGGCAATAAAGTGTGCTGCAATTCCCTGGGGTTGTTATATTTACTGTAGAAGTCAAAAGTAGATTAGGATTTGTGTTCACCATTACGTGGATGACAGCAAGCATATTTATTGTGCTGTTAGCAACTCTTTTGAGAACTTTGTAACTTGAAAAATCCTGAACTCATTTTCTCTATATGAAGTTGTCCTTCTTTGGTTCATAGAAGCATTGAAGTGTGTTCATTCATATGACATCTAAAGAATGCTTGATCTTACATGATGATCAGAGATGCTCATGAAACATTTTTGAGATTCAGTACTAGATCAGTCAGCCGCTGAATTTAGCAAGTTTCTGGCAATAGTAGAAGCCTTTCTGAGCCTGCAGAGCATCCACCTATACCCAGATGTGACTGGTTGGTTGGTTGAAAAACTTTCTATAAGAAGCAGAACCTATAATTTTTGTGTAATCAGGAACAATACAAGCCTGACGTCCTATATCGTTATATAAACTCAGCAGCAGGACGTGGATTGCCAGCAAATGTGAGACCTCATGCTGTTTGTGCAGTGACTATTTCTTGCCAATCTCTCTTGAGGACATCATCAGAGAGATAGCTGGAGCATTTGGCTTGTTTCACTCAGTTGCACTGTCTTAACTTAACTCAGGGCTTTAACTGATGCAAACTTGCCTGATTATGTATGTTCATAGTTCCACTGTCAGGTTTGAATGAATATAGAAGAATGTCAACTATCTTGCCTTGCTGCAGAGGGCTGTGGAGGAGAAGTCATTGAGTGTCTTTTAAGATAGAGATAGATAGATTCTTGATTAGTAAGGGATCAAGTGTTACAGGGAAAATGCAAGAGAATGGGTTGAGAAACATATCGGCCATGATTGAATGGTGGAGCAGATTTGATGGGCCAAATGGCCTACCTCTATTCCTATATCTTATGGTTGTGTGAAATGTTTACTGCCAGATATGTACAAGCAAAGCTCCCTTTCAGCCTACACTTCCTTTTTGTTATCCTTTTTTGACCTCTTGTAGTTTGGAGCTTTCATCTAGAATTACAAATGTGCCTCCAAAGAACCACAAGTGTGGTTCAAAATAGTAGCTTCTGTTGGTTTCAGGACTCCATCTGCAATCTGAAACACAGGGAAATAAAATGAGATTTCTTGATTGTAGGAACAAAGTTGCCCCAGAATCCTTGAAAATGAATCTTTAGTGGTTGTATTCCTTTCATAAATTTCTGGATCAACCACTATGTTGGGTATAATGAGTGTGGTAAACTTGTGAGAAGCTGATATCCAGTAAAACTCTCAGCATTTCCTATTTGTTTCACACCAAAAGAAAAATTTTGCAGATAAAGGTTCCAAATTAGAAAATGCAATCCTGAAATCTTATTGGAAATCTTGGAATGTTGTATAACAGATCAGAAACCTACTTTATCAGTCACATTCAGGCAGTTAGCCTCCCCACAGGCCTTTATTCTTGGCACTTTAAAGCAGTTAGTTGAGATTTTACTAATTTGCTCTGTTTGGTGCATTTTGTTAAGTTTGCCTTTCTTGTTGATTGCAGGCAGAGAAGCAATCTATTAAACTTCAGCATGAGCGTTTGGAAAAGGAACTGCAGCTGGTTCTTGAACAGAATACTCAGTTGACCAGCAAGTTGTTCAAGGCAGAGCGAGAGGTTAATGCTTTGTCCAGCAAAGTAAGTTATTAATTCAGAAACAAAAACAGAAGTTGCTGGAAATGCTCAGCAGGTCTGGCAGCATCTGTGAAGAGAAATC